GTGATGCCAGACAGGCTGGGACCAGGAGAGTGAGAGACAGAACTGGACTCCTCACAGCAGCTGCAACTTCAGCTCACGGTACAAGAGACTATTTTTTTTTTCATACTGTACAAAGAATCAAGAAAGATATTGGTTTAAATAAATGAAGTATTGACTTTAATACACTGATATACATTCCATTAAACAATACTAAATACTACATGGGAGGCTGTGGCTCAGTGGATAGCATGCTGGACTTGGAATCAGGAGATAGCAAGTTCAGGTCCCACTGCAGTCAGCATGTCGTTGTGTCCCTGAGACACTTCACCCCAAAGTGCTCCTGTGGGGATTGTCCACAGTATTGAGTATGTAAGTCGCTTTGGATAAAAGCGTCTAACAAATGACATGTAATGTAATGTAATGTAATACTAGATGACCTACTAGGGGTGTAACGGTATACGTATTTGTACCAAAATTATTCGGTATGGGCCCTTCGGTTCGGTTCTCCACAGCAGGAGACATTGTTAGTGCCAGCAAATCTGCCCTTTCGGCAAGCAATGTGGACACGTTCATTTTTCTTTAAAAAAAGCATGAAAATACAATGACAAGCAACTCATAATGTCAAACTGGCTGCTTAGGTACGAGTACAGTACAGTTCAAATACAGATTATTTCAGTTCATCGAAATGCTGCACCTTAAAGTTTATTTTATTATATTTTGTATTTATTTGAGTGAATATTCACAGTTTAATAATAATTAAAAACCCAAAACTAATAGTTTATGTTTTGTGAGTAGCCTACTAATACAGTAACGTTCAAATACAGATTATTTCAGTTCATCGAAATGCTGCACCTTAATGTTTATTTTATTATATTTTGTATTTATTTGAGTGAATACATTATTCACAGTTTAATAATAATAAAAAATATATATATATTTTATGTTTTGTGATAATTTTTTCTGCTGTACCGAAAACGTACTGAACCTTGACCTAAAAACCGAGGTACGTACGGAACCGAAATGTTTGTGAACCGTTACACCTCTACTAAACGCATACTGAACGACATACATGCACATTTACCATTTACCTCACTGTATTAAAAAGTAACTGTTGATAATAATAATAATAATAATAATAATAATAATAATAATAATAAACAGGAATTATATTTACAAAGTAGCCTACTTTATTTCCAAACAATTTTTTTTCACTCCTGTCGGTTGGGGAGGGGGCCTCATCTCACAATGTCGCTTAGTGCCCCAAGTTGGCAAGGGACGGCCCTGTATGCAAGCACAAACAAGTATTTGTGAATGGATACTTCATTGCAGTTTATTTTGCAAGGTCTAAGAAGTCACATCTGAAATGTGTTGGGAATTGTCCCTGATTTGCCGTCCATCACCTGAAGACAACAACTGACAACCTTCAACATACTGTAAAAGTTCAGTTATCGAAGAAGCCTCTTGGGGCTTCTGTGCTGATTTGCTCCCAAGGCAACACACAAAGTGCCATGAGACAATAAGCCCCCTTGGCTACAAGATAATAACCTCAACTGAACTGCATGAAAACCTTAAATATCCCCTTGCTTTTTAAAGCTCACATTTTTAAATGTTAAAATGGGGAACAAATGCATGGACCAATGTGATTTTTCTGAGGCATAGATGCCTAGAATTAAAGTAGGTTAATGCAGGCGTCTTTTCAAATAAGGAAAAAACTCCACTCGAGATATTAGGTCAAACTTATAGCTGGAAAATCAAGAAAAATACTTTGCTGTCAAAGTAAATCCTACCCAGAAGTTTTGTCAAACATAACTCTGATAAACAAGGTTCGTAGATGTCTCATTAATGTGTTTGTCTCTGTGCTCAAGAGGCAGTAACTGGCAGCTTCTGACAACATCCAACTTGTTTTAATGCGTTTTTTGCTATTTCCTTTGGGAAGTGTGAAGCTTTTTGTTAAAAAAACAAAAGTGAGTAAATTAGGAGTTGTTTTTAGTGCTCTGTCACCTAATGAGTTGGCAGTGTCTTCGATGTGTTTGGAGGTGACCTCAGTGATGTTTTAAGGCAAGGAACGTAGACCATAAAACAGTGATATATAAAGTATTGTTTGACATAATGTACTCACTGGTTTTCTTGGTATTCAACCTGGAATTATTACTGAGAAATGTCGCTTCACGTTGTAGGGTGGAACAGGGAAGTGGAATGTGTTTAATTCACTAATGCAGGTGTATGGTATTATTATTGAAAGAATCATTTTTGCCCACTGCTCTTGAAGTAACAGATTGTTTTTACTCCTGCTCATTTAAACACAACAGTCAGACAAACCTGCAGTCACACCTGAGTCTCTCCTTGCATTCATCAAGGCCGTATAGAAACCAGCTCCTGTCAGCTGTCAGGGCTAAATGCTCAGGGAGTTGTCCAGGCCCACCCATTGTATCACGGCTCCTGGGGGAGAGTCAGATAAAGGCATGGTTGTGAAGGTGGCACAACAAAAAGAATGAATAAGGTGGCACCTAAATTAGCTCTCTGTATAAGATTCAGAGGAAACGGCTGTCAATCTCCATGGCATTGAGACCCTTTCCCTTTGCCCCTTGATGTCCTAAATTATCTTTTTTTGGTTGCCTGCCTTGTCAAGATGACGTATTAGCCATAAATACATTCACCTGTGGACAGTTATATAACATCATCAAGTG